TATCAAATTTTTGAATCTAGAATGTCGATCCCATAGGGAACGAAGGAATTTAACTTAGGAAAAATTCTAGCCTACTAGTTTCGTTCCTAAACTGGATGTTAGTTTGGGTTACAGTCCTACAAACTAAACAAACTAATCCTATAGTATCAAACTAATCCTATAGTATCTAAAGCAAATGTAATATTTAAATCCTATAAAAAAACTTACAAACTAGGTGTTGGATTGATGAATATCATGGTCTAAAGCTACCCTCCCTTGTAGTGATGTATGTGAAGTGTAGGAAATTAAAAGTGCTAATTGTAAATTTAGCCAGTGACAAATAATGACAACTCTTTCTTTATCCGCTCTAGAGTGCATAAAAAAGATTAGTTAAAACGACTTTAATTCCTTAAATCCCATTTTGAACCAAACAAAGATTATTTCCCTAACATTTGCATCTCCCTATGAAGCATATCCACCTATGCTTCATAGTTTAATATGACATACCTAGTTGATTCCACGATAGCTCTCATGCGTCATTATGGTTCACAACACATTTTAACATTTCACTTGGTCGGAATGAAAAGTGTATGGTTCACAACACATTTTAATATTTCACTTGGTCGGAATGAAAAGTAATTGAAAATTTGAAGGTTAATCAACACATTAAGTAATTAAAAGCTATTTCACAGCACTTAACATTCCTACACATCCTACTTAGTCATCACAAGGTAAGGTAGAAAGTACCACACAGAAAGAATGAAAACATACCACAAAACTTCATTTGAAACTAAGAGAATTCCATTAAATGATGTGTTCAAAGAAATACAACAAATGAAATGCACAATCACTTATCTTCCTCTCCTTTACAAATGAAGATGCTCCACCAAATTATTCCCTTGTTGCTACTCTTGAAGGCTTTCCCTCTCCTCCATTGAGGAAGAAGAAGAAAGAACAAACCACTTCAACACACAACCTTCTCCTCACTTTACCACTCAATTCTACCCAAAATAATCACTTTTAAATCAAATTTTCATCAAACCTAGACCAACCATCATCAATCCCTCCTTCTTCTATTACATAGACATAATATAGACTCCATTTTCAGTATAGTAGACCACTCCACGACCTCCTAGTAACTCATCATGTTAGGCTCCCAAATTGCTCAAAATCCCCTATGACTGTTATTGGCGCCTAGGTGTTAGTCTCTCGGTTGGCCGAGTGCAAGGGCGCCTTGGCACCGAATGGTGTGACGCCTAGGCGCTAGTATCGCAACACCTTAGTTCCAAGTAGGTGCGCCTAAGCGCTACCTTCTCGGTTTTTCAGGTGAGGGATTGGCACCAAGGTGCCCATCGGTCTAGTTCTTAGGTCTCAATCCTGCATTTTACTCCTTTGCTCTAAGTCCCCTCCACATTGCTCCACTTTCAATACCTTTTGTACAAGCAAAGAAAACATGAAAATACATTTCTTTAAAGTACAATTTCATCCATAAAAATGTGTAAAATATAAAAAAAATTAAGTTTTCTTTTCTACACTTCGGCCGAGGACTTATGGTTCCCCATTCCCCAAGAGAAAACATCAGGATAGCAAATCAACCACTATTTTTCTTCTTGGTCGATATGTTTGATCCAGAACTACGTGAATATCCAAATTTCCACCTGAACCTTGTTAAGGTACTTTGTCATCTTCTCGTCTCTAGCTTTGAATTTATTGTTTATTGGTTCACCACTAGCTGTGAACCTGACCTCATGAAGAGGGTCCGGACGCCATCCTGTAAACTAGGCGCAGGCTAGAGATCAGAGCTTTGTATTCTACTTGTTTGTTTGCTATTTCAAATTTTGTGGCTTTTGAATGGTATATGTGTTCTCTTGCGGGACTACTCAGAGCGAGCCCAAGTTTTACTCTGGTTCTATTTGATGCGTCGTCCATGTGTTGTATCCACTCATGTGATTCGCTTTGACTTTCTTTTGTTGTGTCCCCCTACCCCGAGAGGTCCATCAAGAGATATGTGATTGCTTGGGTTTTTATAGTCATTTAAGGAGCATAAGTAATGTTGAATTCACTTAGTTCCACTCCCCACTTGAGTATTCAATCTGAGTGTTCCGACCAGGTGAGCACTGATTTCAGCGGGTAATCCATAATCACTCGGATGGGATGTTTCTGGAAGTAAGGTCGCAACCTGCGAGCCTACATTATCAGAGAAAATGTTAGCTTTTTCATAATTGGATACCTAACATCGACTCTCTAGAGCACCTGACTGGTGTAGTAAACTGTGAATTGCTTTTCTGCTTCTTCTCGAACAAGCACGGAGTTGATCGCCTCAACTCCTACCCCTATGTACAGAAAGAGGTCTTCATTTATCATTGAGTTTCGACAGAATGGAGGTGAAGCTAAAGAATCCTTATGTTTTTGGAAAGCTTCCTGGTATTCATTTGTATACTAGACACTCTCGACATTTCAAATAGACATGAAGAATGCGGCGCGCTTGTTGTCGGACCTCAAAATAAACCAACTCAGAGCTACGCTCCAACCAGTTAGCTTTTGGACAGTTTTATGCATTTGGGGGTTAGAAGAAAACTACAAAACTTTCCAGTAGAGGCTCCAACTGTGCATTTTATGGGGTTTGGCCTCATATTAACTTTTCTTAGCATTCAAATGGTTTCTTTCAGGTCCTTTATATGTTGTTCGGTCGTTCAACCTTTCATAAGAATATCATTGGCATCCACCTCAATATTTTTTTCTTTTTATTTTTTAAAGATTGCATCCATCAAACATGGGCCTCAACATTCTTAAGCCTAAAGGGTATTACATTATAATAAAAAACTCCCTCAGCTGTGATAAAGGTAGTTTCTCGGCGTCAGTTGGGTGCATCTTGATCTAGTGATACTCAAAGAAAGCCTCTAAAAAACTCATTACAAAGTATCTCTCGGCTACGTTCACCAGGATGCCAATCCTTGGTAGCAGGAGGCAATCCTTTGGGCAGGCAATGTTCAAGTTGGTGAATTCAACCTAAATCCCCATTGGCCTTCTAGACCATAACAAAATTTGAGAGTCATGTGGGGTATTGCACTTCTCGAATGTACCCCTCATGTAGCTTTAACTCCCTCCTTGATGGGTTCAGCCAGCGTGGTCACTGAGTTCCTCACTTTTGGCTTGATCGGTCGGATCATAGGTTTCACATTTAATTTCTAGTAAGCGATGTTGGCTGATATTCCAAGCATTTCTATGACAGTCTAGGAAAAGACATCGCAATGGTCTGCAGTGTTTGAATTAATAGTTCTTGGTGCCCTGCATCAAAATCATCACATATTAGGAAGGATTTACCCGCTTCGTTCTCTTCGGCTGGGATCTTCTAGGTGGCCTCATTGGTCTCAAGCCCGCCCTCCATTAGACATTGTAGATCGAGTGGCTCCTGCATCATGCTCTCAACTGCTCGGAGGTAGCAGACCCTCGACTGCTCCAGATCTCCTATGACCGTGATGACATCTCCTTCCCCTGGGAACTTTATAGCAACGTGGTAGTGGATATTATCGCTCTGAAGTGGTTTAGCATTGGTTGGCCAAAGATGAAGTTGTATGTTAGGAGAGTTCACTATTAAAAACTCTTGCATCTCTATGAACTACTTATCTTCTTCACCCTAGGTGATCGCTAGTGGTGTTATGCCTAATGCATCCTTCATTTCACCTGAAAAACTAAAAAGTGGGTCAGGCAGCACTACCAACTAATCAGCCAGAAGGTTATGCTTTTTGAACATTGACTAGAATAAGATATTCATAAAATTAACAATATCAATGAGAATACTTCCAACTTGAAGGTTGTTGATTATCCACGTGACAACTATAGACTCATCGTATAGATTTCCCAGCTGGGGAAGATCGCCGCTCTTGATTGTGATGGGAGAACCGCCCCCCACCCCCCACCTTTGTATCTTTGCGTGATTGCACAACTTTCCTATTATGGACCTCTTCAGGGAGCTCTGTTGTGGGGCATTTGTCCCTTTGAGGATGGCTTGGACCATTCTAACGACCAGGATGGTGTTCGTCTGGTTGGGTCTAGAACCGCCCCCACCCCCCACCTTTGTATCTTTGCGTGATTGCACAGCTTTCCTATTATGGACCTCTTCAGGGAGCTCTGTTGTGGGGCATTTGTCCCTTTGAGGATGGCTTGGACCATTCTAACGACCAGGATGGTGTTCGTCTGGTTGGGTCTAGGTGGGGCCTCTAATGCTGTCGCCTTCTTATGCCTCTAACCCGAGTGAGTTTGGGCCATAATTTCCTTCAACTTACACACCTTGACCAACTCATCGGTGCCAACTTGTGGACGACCCGTATTAGCTACTATTATTTAGTTATTCATTTCTCTCTGGGATGAATCTATGCTAACTACAACTTTTAAGATGTTGAATTCAAACATGTCCGACAGACACACCCAAAGAATAGAGCACTCGAGATCAAAAAGAGAGGGTGAGAGAGAGATGACTTAGCGCTGAACAGTAAAATTGTGTAACCATTATTCATAAAAAAAAAAACCTATTTATAGAGATGAGTCATTATAAAATTATACAAGGTCCATTGATATGGCAGAGGCAGTCATTATAATATTGCCCCCGAGTCGCATGGATGTGGCCGGGCGGCCATTGGGTCGGGCGGCTATATCAAGCTGGGAGGTAGCGAGGTGTCTTGCTGAGGGTTCACGCAGCCGCTCCGGAACTGAAGGAAGTATTTTCACGCCCTTGGTTTATCCGGGCTTGATGGAGCTACGTTCATCTGATTGGATCTGGCAGAGGGATTCCTCAATAGATAATCTACCTTTTATCCATTGAGCTGTGCTATTTTCCGATATGGGGTTTGGCCGGCTGAGTTTGTGGTCCTGGACCATCCTTGGTAATTCCAGCAGCTACACCATCACTTTCGCCATCAACACGTGTATTTGCGATTCAAGCTAACACAATTTTGATGTACACTATTGTTGAACAGACAAGCATGTATCATTATGAAGCCTATTTTGCAGAATTCTTTAATTACGATGAAACTTTACATCTAAGATAAAGATCTGAAAAATACTCAAACATGTAAACCATGCTAGGCACAGGCAAATGTAGACCTTGATGATATATACTCTAAATCAGAATCAAAATGCATTTTTTACAGTGGGCCATCTCGATGATGAAGTTAAGATCTACAATTATTTCTTCATACTTTACGGTAAACTAGAGCCTTGGGACTTTGTACAGAGAAATGTATACAGTGGCTGTTTTGTTGCTGATCAGAATCCTTGATGTACCTTGAATTTGCTGATTGCTTTCTATTCTCCTATCCGAGTTTGAGGACAAAATATAAGATCACGGTCTAAGCATTCTTGGGCTTGAATTTGAGGACATCCATGATGCGATAACATCTACTAGATTTTCAATATCCTTTGAAATCTGAGTGCGAAGGATCCTTGAATTTGGACCCAATGTATTGCTAACTTCTTTTGCCACCGATTCCCATGGCGTCCCAGCAGTTAGATTTGCCAGAAGCTCGCCTCCACGGTTTACAACATCAGCCATTGCAGGAGGAACATCAGGAAGGACCTATTAATATGACAAAGTCACCAGAAAATATAAAATATAAAATAAAAATAAAAGATAGGTGGATACATAGAAATTGAGCGGTATGTATGTAGATCTTCCAAATAAAAAAAGAAAGATTTACATGCATCCCATTCAGTTCTTATGTATTTACATATCTAACAGCTAAACTTTAATTTTCACGTGTCATCTTACATAAACATAAAAATGTGCATTTCACTTTTAAAAATATTTACATATCTAACAACTAAACTTTAATTTTCACGTGTCATCTTACATAAGCATAAAAATGTGTATTTCACTTTTAAAAGTTAAAATAATGGTATTTTTGATATGATAGGAGTGATTTAAGTGGTACAAATGCAAAAAGGTAAAGTTTAGGTGTCAGATATGTAAATACATAGGAATTGTGTGGTATGTACGTAAATGCCCCATATAAAAAATAGTGCTTACAGATTAAGATTATCTATGAAACTTTTACCTGTTGCAGTGGAAGACCATGGTCTCCTGGCAATGAACGGATTGACAAGTCCAGTTGAGAACTTATAGCAGATTCACTGCTTAACAATTTAGCTAGCATCGGAGTTTCGTCAATCGTATCATCCTTAAACTGTATTAGTAGATTCCTTGAAACTCCATAGTAATTTTTTATCTGCAAAATTTGACCTTGTCATAATTCAGAGTATACTAAGCTCACCTTTTGATATATTATAAGCTAGATACTGTTATCCAAGTTGGTTTGAGCAAAAACGAATTAAGAACAATGAAAAAAAGGAATGTTCGGCGAAGATCATGTTTTAGGATTCAAATCCTAGTCAGAGCATTTTGAGCAGTTCTACTACTCCAAAAAATAAAAGAAAAGGAAAGTAAGAAATGACAACTCATATCATTATTCTTGTGTCATCCATCTATTAAGAACATCTAAAATTTATTTTGAGTTTTTTAAAAATAGGTCAGACTTCTTTTTTAAAATGAATAAGAGAAACTAATGAAAAATACACCAAACAAATATATTTTTAAAAAACAAAATAAGAAAATAAAAAATAAAAAATAAAAAAGATCCCAAATGACACCAAATTAATTATAATTTTATGTTGTGGCATCACAACAATACTCCCCTCTAACAACAACCTTGGCCACAAAGACAGGCTTCTGAGATAGTTGAATGAAGGCGGCAGGCATCCATCTAACCATAATTTCTCAATCGCATCCTTTTTGTGTGCTAGAGCAAAAGGGAAATTACAAAATAAAATATTGATCGCTAGGCATTTGAGGAATACTTGGAATCCATCCCTTGCTGCACAGAAATGTGGTGGTCGTTTGATTGACTGCAATTCCATATAATCAATCTTGCACTATGATATAGCAGTACTACCTTTTGCTCATTCACATCCTCTTCAAGTTCTTCGGCAAATGGATTTGCAATTTTGTGATCTACATTTTGTACAGGTTGATCTCTAGGATAAGGTTCTCACAAGGAGAGTAAAAAAGTTATAGCATATTTTGTTTGAAAGTATTCCAAGAACTCAGATATTTGTTCAAGGACATCCAGTCTAGTAACACGATGTCAGACTATCAGAACAAACAAAAAAGATTGTAAAATGCTGCAATTCTAACATGGCGTAGTACAAAATGAAATAATAAATAAAAACTACTTGAAAAGCAATTCTAGTGATTTTTCTTCATTGAAATAAGGGATGCCTATTTCAAGGACTTCTGAATGATTATGAAGTATTATTATAGAAGAATCGTGTTCCACAAACGTGCTTGAATTGATCATCGATCTCTCTTTCATCATTGACTTAGGATGTAATTGTTGTTCCAATTTGATCTCTATCTGAATTAGACAGTAGGGGATGTACCGTTCTAGGACACCTGAAAAGTGTCTGACAATATAAGAAAGTGATAGACAAGTTGTAGGGTGGGTAACAAGCAGGAGAAAACAGTGGCAGGACAACAGGCTGACAATGAAATGCAACATGTTATTCTGCTGTAAAAAGCAGCTTTCTCCTGCCAAACAGCAGTAGACAGCGAGTTCGACGGTGAAGAAGGCCTTCAGAAATCTGGGAGAGATCATCACCTCGATTCTCAGGTCACGGACATGCCACCTGAAAGAAATCTAAGAATACAACTCTCCGATGAAGAAAATAGGAGAAAACATCTCCAATTAATTTAAGTAAAGCCAAAAGTCCACAAAAGTAGAAAAATAACAGCACATAAATAGCTCTTCTACATAAATAAATCTAATTTTAATTAAGGTAATATTAAAATACTAATAAAAAGAGTTCCACATGGCTAGAATAGCCAAGGGGATGGAGAAAAGTATGTTTCAGACTCTAGCAAAGTTGTGAGATGATGCTCAGCTTCGATCCCACGGTCGGGTTCACAGAAAGCAAAAGGCTTCCACTTCATTCTCGCCGGCTAGGAGAGGTGGTTCACAGAAAGCAAAAGGCTTCCACTTCATTCTCCCGGCTGGGAGAGGTTTCTTCTTCTTCTTCTTCTTCTCTGGAAGGACCTGGATCCCACTGTCGGATGTTCTTTCTAACAAAACAGATAAGGAGATTCCAAAAGTTGTGGTTTACCATTCCTATCTGGCCCTCTGTCCGTGTGTGTGCTATTGAACTAAATTAGAACTTGATCCCAAACTTACTCCAAAGTATCTTCTAGAAATCGCTAATAATTTTCTCATCTTTGTAGAGACTATTAATATGTAGGACCACTCTCAATAGTGGAAACATAGGAAGTAGGTTGTAGGTCAGAATCATAAAATCCATTTAGCTAGGGATGCCATGTGTCTGATATTAGGTCCTTGGACTCACTGTCATCTAGAACAATCAATGGTAATCCTAGTGATGCTTCTCTCACAAGCTCATTCTGAAGTAACCATCAGATTACTAGCATCTCTCTCTTATCAACTAGAAATTCACACTCCTTACATCCTCACAATGGTAATCCTAGTGATGCTTCTCTCACAAGCTCATCTTATCAACTAGAAACTCACACTCCTTGCATCCTCACGTTCTTTAGTGTCTTTCGTGTCACTGTTTAAATTTTCCAACGCTTCCTGCTCCATGAATGTGATCGTCCGCCTATTTGTAAAATCTAATGCAATGCGCCCAAAAGTATGACACTTGAACACTTTCTGGTCGGGTGGATTTGGGAGTGTTTGTGGGCTCCATCTTTTCTCTAATTTGGATTAGTTTTTTCCAGAGTGCTCCACTGGGTGTACCTTGCTGCCTGATCCGATGGTTATAACTAGTTGGAAGGGTGGTGTGGATCTGACATTGTTGTGTTGTCTCTCCACCTTCAGAGCTAGGGTTTGGATATCCTGTAACATACAATAGGGTTGTAATTGAACCATTTTGCCAACAGAAGGACTAAATACCCTAAAATAACGAGCTATGATCTTATCATTGAACTCCACTAGCTCACACTTCAATACAAGTTGTTCGAATTCAATGGAGTACTCCTCTATTGAGAGACCTTGCCATTGTAATTATGAAGTTTGAAAAATATTTCGGGTCTATTGTTGAAAGTGATGGTGATATTGATGGGGATGTTATTAGTAGAATTCAAGTTGGTTGGTTGAAGTGGAGGAATGCTTCGGGCCTATTGTGTGATAGAAATGTAACGCTTAGACTCAAAAGAAAATTTTATAAGATGGTGGTGAGACTTGCAATGCTCCATGGCGCTAAATATTGACCTTTAAAAGAGAAGCATAAAACTAAGTTAAGTGTTGTTGAGATGAGAATGATTAGGTGGATGAGTGGCTTTACACTTAGAGACAAAATGCGAAATGAATATATCTATGATAGGGTTAGTGTAGCTCGAGTGACGGACAAAACTAAAGAGACCCATCATAGATCGTTTGGTCACATTAAACGTCGGCCATCTGATGATCCTATTAAAAGAGTAGATATTTTAGATTCGACTTGTGTTAAGAAAGGCAGAGGTAGACCTAGAATGACTTGGGCATATTATATAAAAAATGATCTTAATTTATTAGAATTAATGAAAATATAACACTATAAAACGCAATGGGGGAAAAAAGATTCATGTAGCCGACCTCAGTTAGTGGGATAAAGATTTTCTTTTTGTTTTTGTATTAACCAAATCATAAGAAATCATCGAAGTATGTTGAAATTCATAATGACAAGAGATTGAGATAGATAATATCTGAAATTTATAATTTATATAATATCGAGCAAAAAGAGATGTTTTATTACAGAATAAAAACCTAATGGTTTATAGTTTGTGCTCCAAAATACATAAACATCACCAAAACAAATACAACGACAATAACAATAAAAACAATGTTACAATTACAAAATCAAATAAAAGTAAAGTCTTCACAAGAAACTCCAACTCTTTGACACCATTTTTCACGGTATCATCAAATGCATATATCTTTTCGTCAACTGGCTCCTCTATTGTATCCCTAGGTTCATCAAACCACAAGAAATATTTGCAATCTCTGTCCGTTAAATTTTTTTGACATTTGTAAAATTTTCTTCTTGCATTGTCGCTTCTCTGAGTTATGAAAACAACGTATAATAGATTGTAATCACAAAAAACCCACCGATGTTTGATCCCCCTAAAGGTTGTCGAATTGCTTGAGCTCATGTTCGATAATGTAATCATATACATAAAAACAAGAGAAATTTACAGATATAGCACAGAATTCTTATGTACTAAATAGCTACCAAAATACAAACATTGTCATTCCCATTAGCAAACAACACAATATATTCCCTATTTGCAAAAAAATCCAGATCAGAAATGAATAACCTTCCTTGCAAACAGAAAAATTTTTTTTGTTCTAAATAGAAAAAGAAGAGGCACATGCACATAAAATGACCAACCAATCTCCAGAGCTCCCAACAAATATATTTCAATTTTTCGAATTCAAATGAGTAGTATGTGTCTGAATGTCCGAAAGAATCTCCAAATTTGCATGAAAAACAAAGGTCATCCAAGGGAATCAAAACAAAAGCCAACAAACAAATACATAAAACAAAACCAAGATAATCACAAAAAAAACAAAAAAAACAAAACACAACTAAAACTAGGGCAACAACAAAGAAGTACAAGAAGAAACACAAAAAGAAAATGAAAATTAGCTCAGTGATTATCTAATGAAAAAGGTATTAAAATACCTTCTAAATACTATAAATATTTAGCACCAAAAATATTTACAAGTATGGTTGAATTTTAATGCAATAGCTGGAGAACATCATAGCTCAACCGACAACCCGACCAAAAGGGAAAGATCAATGGAAATGTCACGACCCGACCCAAGGCTTGGAATTAATCAAGGAAGAAACAAACGGTTGGACGGTGTGAATTAAATTTTCTATATTCGTCTAAAATTTAACAGATGAAAGAGCTACTAAGAAAATTAACTTAAAGCATTAAAATTAATTTTACCTTATTACTAGTTGTACACGTGTTCTGTAAATGTTTCCTCGTCTATCTTTCATCTTTTAATCACTTAAAATTTATTTGAAAAGTTAGTTTAAATATAACAGTTAGCTAAACAAGCAAGTACTCATATTTTTAAACCATAGTAATACAAAAGAAAAGAAGACAATATGCATGTCAATCAAGCTTTTAATAAATCATTAAAAACATTTAATGTCATTCAAAGATCCT